TGAGCTCTCAAATGAGCCTAAATTTTAGATGTTTTAAAATCCTCATGCTAAAGAAATCAATATCTTCTGTTTTGGAAAAAGAATGTTAGACTCTAGAGAGTCACTGTCTTAGCATTCATGGATGTCAGACCAAGGTTTTCATGTTTATTCCTGAGGGCACCAGAGAGATCTTTCCATAGGGTTAAACTGAATGGATGTGGTAAATTTCACAGAGGAAGTGTGCAACTTGTAAGGGAATTCTACCTTGCCAGAGAATTCTGTGAGGAGTAAGCCTTTTCTCATTTTTCCCTGTCTAGGAAACCAAATCCCAACTCAATGTTTAGAAGGTATTAGTGCAGTAAAGTGTTCACACATAAAATGGAGGAAAGCAGCAAAGATATCAATAGAATTTGTTGAGATGGCAAAGTTTCCACCTTATATGTACAAAGTATTTTACTGTCATGAAAAAGAGTTCCTCTTCTTGCTTACCGTGAATATGTGCAGGCTTTTGTCAGTGGGGCTGACTCAGGATGGATCCTTCTGTGTGTGCCTCAGGCAAGTCTAACCCTGAAGAGACTAGTTTTTACTGGGTTGGGGGCTTCCATCTTGATCTTTGGCACTCATATTCCCTTTCTCACATTTGGTTTAGCATATCTTCCTCCTAGATAAACAAGTACTTCTGGACCACCATCAGCTTTTAGATATATCTAGGTTTTGAAGGGCATGTGACATACCATATGAAGTGAAGGATTCATCCAACTGCTTGCTCTGAGCTACAGGGAAAGTACTCAGAAGTAGGTTCTTCTTGTTGAGATTCAGAATGTCAGTGAGTATATAAATGTCTCGTGATATGTGGCCAATAAATTGGTTGTATAGAGTGGCTGATATATATCAGAATTCAATATTAGACATGTGCATTAAATTCACTGAATTTTAGTGAAATATAAATAAAAATAAAATCTAGAAACTATCACCAAACCATTTAAATAATGATGACAGAATTGTGAAGAAAATGGTGTGTTTAAGTTGATGCAAATTGATACGGTCTTCTTAAGAGCAACATGTGATCAGGAGCTATAAACATCTTTATATACTTTCACCAAGCACTCCCCTCCTTGAAACTTCATTCAGTGGAATAAAAAAAGAAAGCCCCACATATGATAGTATTCAGTTTGATGCTATTCTTAATGTATAAAGCTGTGAACAGTTATTCCCCAAAAGAGGGAGATGGTTAAATAAATGTGGTTTGCTAGTTGAATAGAACATTGGGAAATTATTATACGAGTCAATCATCTCTTATCCAAGATGCTTGTCACCAGAAATATTTTGGATTTTGGAATATTCATACATACATGATGAGAGATCTTGGGGGTGAGACCTGTCTGAACATGAAATTCATTTATGTTTCATATACGCTTATACACAGAGCCTGAAGGCAATTTTATACAATACTTTTAGTTCACCTGTGTTTTGACTGTGACACATTGCATGAAGTCAGGTGTGGAATTTTCCACTTGTGGCATCGTGTCACTGCTCAAAAGGTTTTGGATTTTGGAGCATTTCAGATTTGAGATATCTGGATTAAAGATGCTCAACTGGCATAGCATTGTATGGGCCTTGTAAACAGGAGGATGTATACAATTTGTGTGTACTCTGGTGCTTAGTCATATAAGTGGATTTCAAAATGCATGGTCACCATGATTATTACTATGCACACATGTACATTAATTCATTTATTCTAGGAGAATTTTTGAGCATCGGTTATATAGTAGGTGTTGTTGCTTGGTTTACAAAACACAGATGAAAAGATATAATTTCTGCTTCATTGAGGGTTAGTTCAGCTGAAATATGGTCATGTAAACAGATGGAAAGGTGAAGTCATTTACAAAATGCTATTGGAGGATAGGAGAAGAAATGATGTTGACCAAAGATACAAGGGAAATAAGAAGAAAAAGGAGCTAAGATGTGCATGTGGACAAAATTTAAAAGGCAATGTAAAGAAATCAGTTGTTTAAGGGTGGAAATATTAGGAGTGACTTAAAAATATTTAACCTCTTTATTCAGATATAATTCACACAGCATAAATTTACCCACTTAAAGTGTACAATTCAATAATTTTTATATACTCACAGAGTTGAACAACCATGTCCACAATCTAAGTAGAAACTTTATCATCCCAAGGAGCATGTAGTTTGGCTTTAAATTTCTTCCAATGTTAAAAGATTTTAAAAGAATAAAGGTATAAGAATGAATTTTTTTATTTCTGGCTATTATAGCAAAGCTGTATGTTGTGCATAAAATGAAACACAAATATTCCATCATGTCTTTAATTTTAATTTTATTAACAACAAGGTAAATTAGGTACCTGAAAATTCTTCACAGATATCTACAAATGTATTTAAATAAAACAAGATTTAAGTTTTAAGAGTGGGGTTTCAGTGGTAACTAGTACTTGTTATTCATTTACTGCATAAAAAATCTCCAAGTTTATAAAACTTAATTTGGCCATTTTCCCATATCTTAAAAACCAGCTGCAAGAAATTGGAAAAGAGTATTCTTTGAAGAGAAATACAGATAGGTTCTCAGAGGAACACAGGGCATTGGGACTTAGGAAAGAAACAGGCAAAGCTGTAAGCATTATCTCCTCAGTGCAGCCAGGGTGCTCTCCATGCAGAGGGAGTGCCAAAGAACCCATGACTGGAAGGCTCACCTGACCTTACTCTCCTCCCTCCCTCCATTTGCTTCCACATTCTGAGGGACTTTGTGCATAGGATGCTCCCCCACAGTGCCTACTGGCAGCAGTGTCCTCCCGGCTGTGACTGTAGAAGCTATGGTTGGCCCTTGAAGTTCTCATGCCTTACTCTGATCTGGGTCCCATTCCGGGCATCTCTAGTTTCCTCAGGTGTCTGCATGAACTATCTATGCAGTTCCCTATGTTTGGATCTAAGTTTCTTGAAGGCAAAGGGTGCAGTATTCAGGAACTCTCCTATGACCAAAAATCCCAAGGCTAATTTTTGTTGGTCACAAGTCAGATTCGACAAAAGTCAGGCCATTATCTGGGGGAGAGAGAGTTGCCTGGCTTCCCTTAGGTCACATCTTATAGATGACAGATGGTCAACAATCTGTAAAACCAGTTCTACCTAAAGATTGAACACCAAAGACCCCCAGAGGCTGGTGTGGGATTCTCCAACTCTCTGAGGCAAGCATCATGCTTCTTTACCATCAGCCGCACAGACTGAGAGCTTGGCTTCAGCTCCTGACAGACATGAAATAGCTACCAGGACAGGATTTAATTCACAAGCAAAAAGAAGATGAACTGCAACAATATGTTTTTCCATGTGCCTTTCGTCTGCTTTCCAATGAGGTTCTGCAGCTGTAGCCAAATGGCTTCTCTCCAGGTTAATGCACAACATAAAATTTAGTGTCTGTGAGTTTGGCTCATTTTTCAAATAAAGTGTGATTGTTGAAATTGGGACACAATTTTTTCCAACTGCTTTGTAAACTTGAGGATTATAGTCAGCTTGTTCTATCATACTTAATATTCAGGATATTAATTAAAAAAAACTAATGCCAGTGTAAACATGCCTTAGATACATAGGTCTATAAAGTATTGCACATAAAAATTTGTTCAGCATTTCTTCATAGTAATTTCCCATTATTATAAAAAGTATACAAAAAAGTATACAAAATTGTGCAGACTATGAATTTGGCCGGCCAATCTTATTTCAAAATGATAATATTACACATGATTATGGATTATTTACAAGTGTTTTAAACAAAAGTATTGATGGTTAAATTAAAGATGATGGGAAAATAGCTTAAATAAAAGATTATCCTCCAAGATTATAGACTATAAAGATTAGCAAAAAATGAATAATAAAATTGGAATAAGCAACTTTAAATAAAATCTTTAGGAATTAGTTTTCTATGTTTGTCTCACATCTATATAATTTATATATTTCCATCCTATTTATCTTCAACATGTTTTCTCTGTGTATACAAGTATGAAGTATAGCAGGGAAAACAGGTATTTAATCCCAAGATAAATATTGGTGTTGCCTGTTATAGCTATTAAAAATTATGTTTATCCATATTTAATTAAATTTATTTTTTATTAATGGACTCTAGAAATTTTACCATTACTTTAAAACACCACATAGTGTGATGAGTACCTTGAAAATCATGTATTAACTAAGTGAGTGGAAATATTTTTTTAAAAAAACATATATATATATGAAAGGAAATAAAAATGCAACATTTTTGTTAGGCTAAATGAAGCAGCTGTGAGTTTCAGAGAGTGTGAATAATAGTGATTTCTGGTATGAGGCAGGAAAATATTAAATAAAACAAACTTCTAATGTCAATTTGCTTTTTCTTAATATGGTCTAAATTCTGAAGTAGCTCTGTTATTGTTACTTCACAGAGTGGTGATCATAGGAGGAAAAGAGGTGAGCGATTCAGAAAACTAGCTAACCAAATCTTAATTTCCAAATCCTCTAGACAACCAGAATCTCAACCTAGAGAAATGGAAAATAAATAAATAAAATTTTCTCCTCGCTTACAGAATGATCTTTGTCATTTCAAAAGTACTTTCACAGTACCGACAACATATTGCTTATCTCCCTGAGCCATCACTTCATTCAAAATGTTTCTTTTCCATAGGGAGATGTCAGATATTCCATTGGATACAGTAGTGTTGGACGGTTCAGTCTTAGTTCACCCCAATTCTATAGTGATTCTGACATTTCGACTTTGCAACTCAAGTTGGATTGACCTGGACAGCAACTTGAATTCTCATTCCCATTTCATCCATTTCAAAATGTCTGTCAAATATGGAATGAGGAAAGCAAAAGAAATCTTCCATGATGCTGATTGCTTCTACAGTGTTGGCATCTCTTTGTTCCAGAAGGTATTCCGGGCTCTATGGAAACTTTCCTAAAGTGTGGAGTAGATGAGGTGATAAACTCAGGGGCCCTTCATTTCCTAGGTCACTGGCAGGTACAGGAAAGCCTTTATTTAGCCCTTATGTCCTTTCTTTTCTTTGAACAGAATCAGTGTTTGGGTTTTTGGTCATTGCTTTTCCTTATCACGCCTCAGGAGTTTTGTCACTGGTCAGCTGTTCTCTGTCAGCCATATCATCCTGAGGAGGTCTTGCTCTGTCAAAGAACCCGCACTACGAAAAGAAAAACAGGGGGGAGAAATGAATGATAGGAGAGGGGGTAGAGAGAGAAGAGGGGAGGGGAGGGGAGGGGAGGGGGGATAGTAGAGGATAGGAAAGGCAGCAGGAAAGCCAAGGCTTTATCAGTTTATGGGTCTGTTAAGCATGCTGCATGACAGACACTAGTATGGCAATATGTAAATCAATGGATGTGTAACTGATGTGATTCTGCAATCTGTATACGGGGTAAAAATGGGAGTTCATAACCCACTTGAATCAAAGTGTGAAATATGATATATCAAGAACTATGTAATGTTTTGAACAACCAAGAATAAAAAAATTAAAAAAAAGAAAACAAAAACAAAAACAAAAAAAAAAAAAAAAAAAGAAAAGAAAAACAGGGTATGAAATCAAGCCATTTGGAGTTCCTCATTTGAACTGTGGAGTTCCCTCATTTGAAGAATTTTCACTTTATGTATTTCCTAAGGAACTTGGAGCTGTGTGAATATAACCTGCCCAGTTCTCCAAATTAAGAGGAGAAGGTAGCATGTTGTTTACCTGGAGAGAATTTATGGCATGGGCCAAGGTAAGCAGGAGGGCAGAGTGTTTGGGTAGTAGTGGTAGAAAGTACTTGTTTTATACCAACCACTCATGATTGTTGGATATTCTCCTGGGATTACAGCAGTGTGTCCCAAGGATGCCCTATGTGCTTTTCTGCATCTTTGCTGAGTCAGCAACAGTGATAACTATTGACCAGAAAAGGGATATTGTCTCCTGAAGAATTCTGTAAGTGGCCACGGGGTGGATTAAAGGAAGAAGTGTGCCACATATCCCTCTGCACTGGGTGGGACATGCAGTACATAGAGGGAGAGCTGATTTGTTATTTAGGCATTTTAGTGACTTTACATAGATTAACTTGGGAAGAGATGATTCTAGAATCTTCTTTCTCTTGAATTTCACCAAGGAGGGTGTATCTTTTCCTAGGAATCTGGAACCTCAATTCTTATTTATTGTTTCTCATATTGGAAGCCCAACATGGGCTTTTTTGTATTGCTAGTGGAATGCTCTGTCATTTGGTGCTTTGAACTGTACTTATGTTTATTGGAAATAAAGTTATAAAAATAGCAGAATAACACAGAAGTCATTCCTAAATATGTTCCATCGACTATGTGGGCTCAGGATGGCACAAAATAGGTGATGATGATTAGAAAAACTATTCTTTAACTGGAAGCCAAGGCTTTATCAGTTTATGGGTCTGTTAAGCATGCTGCATATTGTCTCAAAATAAAAATACACAATGTTTTTTAGGGAACCACAACAATAGTGATTAACAGAGATGTGACTGAATTAGCTTATAGTCATGTAATCATGGCATTGTTTTTCTTTTGGAATGGAAAGCTCTGTACAACTTGGCAGTAGTACATGTTTTGGGGCCAGCATTTAGTTCCCATTGAAGACTTTTAGAATAAACCTCCCACAGACTAAGTTAGGGATTCCCAATAAAGACAGATTAATTGGCAAGATTAAAAAACAAGTTCAAGCACCTTATGATATGCATGATCCATTTGGATTGATTAATAATCAAAATAAAAATTAGAACTGACATTTTAATTGCATCAGTGCAGTGCTTAGAAAGAAAAACCTCAAAGGATTACTGGTAGTACAATGTCAAGAAGCTTAAGATTTTGGTCAATGAAATTTCATAATAACATTATCACTCCAAGAATATTGGACAGAAGATCACAGGTCCTACCTAGTTAATAAAGCCTAAGTTTCTATATTTTTATTCACAAGAAATCTCAAGATAAAAACAACAACAAATACCCCCTTTTTTTTTTCTTAAATATGAGCCACACAAACATATCAAGTATGTCAAAGCAAATAAAACACAATTTTCCCTTTATATCCTTTAGATCTTTCAAAACCTCTAAATGATGCCTTTAGCATTATATTTTAAAATCCCTAATAATATCTTTCTATCAATATCTGCAGAGTGACTTCTGCAGTTCAAAAGTAAAAATAAAGGAAATCAACTTACCTTCCATAAAGCTAAAGTTAAAATGGCCAGAACCAACAATCCAAGAAGTATTGCTAGTATTATGACCCACAGTGGGATGGAGAAGGATACATTTGGGGTTGCCCAAATAACTGAGGTCTTAATCTGAAATGAAAATAAAGCAAATGAGCTTTGAGTTTTAATTTGAAAAAGTGTTTTGGTGAAATAAGGTGGCAATTGCCCATATAACACTGTGGAGAGTTCTTAACAGATCCATAAAATAATTGAAAGTCGTTTAAGGAGAGATTTGTGAGGCTAAGCATTTGAACATGGACTGGAAAAAACAAGCATATCCAGGTGTGGGCATAAGGGGTGAAAGTCTTAATGACAGATGCTTCATGATCGGTTGACTTATCACTGGCATCGGGGCTAGATTGGAGAAGTGGTCCAGTGTTGGGAGCTGCCATATAGGAGCTGAGCGCCCCCTAGCTTTGAGCGATGGAAATGTGGAGTCTGGCTTCCTGGTCAGAAAGCTTCCTGATCTCCACTCAGCAGGAGAGTGAGGCTTTGGGAGTGGGCGTTACTCAATGGAGTGGGCTGCCTTCTTGTTCCTTTGGAATACTACCCCTTACCTTTTCTGGATGGAATGTTCTATGGAACAGCTCTCCTCAATAAGTAGAATGGTTTCAGGCGTGCTCTCTCTCTTTCATCTGCCCCTCTTGCTTCCCTTGTGGGAGTTGGGGCTAAGGAGCCATTGCTCCTCACATTACTTTCTGTGCCTGTGATTATTTAGTAGCCAGCCCAATTCACCTGGAGTGACCCTGACTAATTTAGTCGTGTGTTGCCGCAGACCAGGAATCAACAAGGTGGAAAGAAAGAACTTTAAATTGGGTTTCAAGCACTGGGGTCTCTTTCACTGATAGAGCACAGAATTTTCTAAAGAATCCTACGACTGGCAATGGTTAGTGGTGGAAATTGCTTAGTTTTTCTGGGACTCAATTGTATCATCTGTAAAATGATCAGATCAGATTAGATGAATTCTAACCTTCTTGATGATTTCTAACTAGATTTGAACACCTGCTGAACCCCCTTTCAGCTTAATTTATTTAATAATAAAGGGGATGCCAGTCTAAAATTGAACAGATACTTGCCGGCCAAACAGCTTTGTAAAATTGTTTTCTTCTATCTTATTTAAAGACTCTGTGGTTCAGGATTATTATTTCACCCTATTTTATACAATCCTCCTCGTTTTTGCCTTTAAACATTTTGCCTTGCTGCAACTTATTTAAATACACTTACTGTTTACTACAGCATGCACATTTCCATTGCACTGCTGTTCTATTCTCAAGTAAATACCATTGTCCTTTGGAGAATCTCTGATGTTATTTAGGTTGACATGGCAGTGAGCAAAGTAAATGTCATCTTGATGTGTTGGAGCCCCCTTCAATGCTAAATCCAATTTTGGGGTGCAGAATTGAAATAAGCATCTGGAGATTGGATCCCATTTCATTCCCCACTGTTGTGAAGGAGGTTGAAGGAAAATGAGACCTTTCTAGCTGGATGGCATGCTCCACACCTATGACCCATCCTTGCCTCCCGGAGTGGACATAAGAAGCATTTCTATTGCTTGTGTGCTGGGAGTCTGTGCAAGGAAGCTGCAGACTGCTCCCTGCCCCCAGAAAAAGCAAGGAGAGACCTGGCCATGCTACTAAAACCTTTTGGGAAAGAAAATAAAAATTATTGGACTCAAATGTTACTCACCAATACAGGCATGCCAGGTTTTAACAGAGAGTAAGCATGGCTTTCACTAATGGTCTGTGTGTTCCTAGTTTTTTTTTTTAGAGAGAGAGAGATAATTTTTTTAAATATTTATTTTTTAGTTTTCGGTGGACACAACATCTTTATTTTATTTTTATGTGGTGCTGAGGATCGAACCCAGCGCCCGCGCATGCCAGGCAAGTACGCTATGGCTTGAGCCACATCCCCAGCCCTGTGTTCTTAGTTTTAAGTGTGCTAGTTGAAAGGATCATGATTCCAATCCTGAAACATGCCAAGAACTCTAGACCACAATTCTACAACCCACTCATCAGGAGAGGATAAAATCATGACTAAGGAGCTCTGGAACTTGCCCTGGCAGGAAATGTCTGGATATTTTCATAGCCTGAACCCAAGTAGTGGGTCCTAACCATGCTCCCTCTTCTGTTCTGTCTTCTTAACTAGATGTGGGCACCTGGCTGATGGTCTTCTCAGTTTGTCCTGGTTTTTTAATTGCTCATCCCCTTTCAGTTCACTTCCCCTATACTGCAGACATGGTGATGCCCCAATTCACTGATTCTACAGCCCTGGGTATCATTTTTATCCAGATTAAACAATGGAATCCACAGAATAGTGAGATTAGTAGTCACTCAACATTGACAGCAGTGCCAGAGACTTGATAGTCCTTCTAAATAAGAAAAAGGCTGGCCTTAATCTACTCACCACTACACTTTCTCCCTTTGCCTGTTAATGTTCCTTGTTAGCATTTTCCCCATTTCATCAATAAGAAAGGGTGACATTCCATCCCAATGATGGCATCATGACTGCCTGCTTGCCACTGTTCAAGGATGAGACACATGGTTCATATATTGGAGAAAAGCATTTTAAGTACCCCAAATGGTTGCAATGCTACTTGGATTCTACAGCTCGGGTAATTTATTTTAAGATGATCCTTTGTGTATATGTGACTACATGAGCATATCAGAATCTATATGATTTCTCTTTATGTTCCTTTGCCTTGGTTAGTTACATCTGATGATACACATGAAAGCACTGCTCAGTCCTAACATTTTCAGTACTCTGGAAAAGGGCATGAAGTAGTATTTCAACATAATTTTACTGGAAGCAAACTGACACAGTTTTGGTAATGAGAATTTCAGAATTTAGGAAAAAAAAGGAACAGTAGTGATCATCTGCTCAGAGTCCAGTTACAATGACCCAGGAGAGAGAAATCTGGAGCCAAGGACAATTCTGGTAATTTTTTAAAACAAAAGTTTTTTTTTTCTCCCTAAGCTCTAGTCCACCAAGAAAACTTTTTTTTTTTCATTGTTGTTGTTGTTGTTTGCCTGTGTTGGAGCTTGCCAAGTTTGCTAACAGGGAAATTGTTAAAAGAGCCAGATTTGTTAACAGGGAAATTCATGGTAAGAAAAGCAACAGATGCTTCTGAATCTTCAGTTTCCTGATTCACCTAATTAATATTTTAAGTCATCTCCTACTATTTCATGGTAAACTTAGGAAGCAATCCTAGTTTTGTAAGTTAAAGAAATTTTGAAGGAGATGAAATAAGGAGCATAGACTCTTCACATTGTTCATCTAACAGTAGGGAATGTTATGGAATGCCAGGTGCCTCTGCCACTTGGCTAGAGCAGGCTTTGATGCATTGTCTATAAAACTGGTCTATCTGTAGAAAGAGGCAGGGAAGTTCACTTACAAAGAGCTAATGAAGACATTTGAAGGGTTATTTTGCTATAGTGATGAAAATGTACAAATAAAATATGAAATAGATCAAGATATGTTTAATAGAGTCCCTTGAAGCAGGGTACTACTCTATGGGGATAGTTATAAAACCTGCTGGCTTTTTGCTTACTTTTACTTCCCAAAATTTGGACAGCAGGGCCTTAAGAGAGTCTGTGAGGAAATGATCACCATGCTGTGATCCAAAATTTTGAAATTCCCTTTCAGTTCCAAAATCTGAAATTCTCATTATCAAAACAGTTGCCAGTCTGCTTCCAGTAACATTAAGTTCATTTAAAAAGTACCACTTTTCAATCAACAAGTACATGAAAAAATGCTCACCATCTCTAGCAGTCAGAGAAATGCAAATCAAAACCACCCTAAGATACCATCTCACTCCAGTAAGATTGGCAGCCATTATGAAGTCAAACAACAACAAGTGCTGGCGAGGATGTGGGGAAAAGGGTACACTTGTATACTGCTGGTGGGACTGCAAATTGGTGCAGCCAATTTGGAAAGCAGTATGGAGATTTCTTGGAAAGCTGGAAATGGAACCACCATTTGACCCAGCTATTCCCCTTCTCGGTCTATTCCCTAAAGACCTAAAAAGAGCATGCTACAGGGACACTGCTACATCGATGTTCATAGCAGCACAATTCACAATAGCAAGACTGTGGAACCAACCTAGATGCCCTTCAATAGACGAATGGATAAAAAAAATGTGGCATTTATACACAATGGAGTATTACTCTGCATTAAAAAATGACAAAATCATAGAATTTGCAGGGAAATGGATGGCATTAGAGCAGATTATGCTAAGTGAAGCTAGCCAATCCCTAAAAAACAAATGCCAAATGTCTTCTTTGATATAAGGAGAGTAACTAAGAACAGAGTAGGGACGAAGAGCATGAGAAGAAGATTAACATTAAACAGGGATGAGAGGTGGGAGGGAAAGGGAGAGAGAAGGGAAATTGCATGGAAATGGAAGGAGACCCTTAGGGTTATACAAAATTACATACAAGAGGAAGTGAGGGGAAAGGGAAAAATAATACAAGGGGGAGAAATGAATGACAGTAGAGGGGGTAGAGAGAGAAGAGGGGAGGGGAGGGGGGATAGTAGAGGATAGGAAAGGCAGCAGAATACAACAGACACTAGTATGGCAACATGTAAATCAATGGATGTGTAACTGATGTGATTCTGCAATCTGTATATGGGGTAAAAATGGGAGTTCATAACCCACTTGAATCAAAGTGTGAAATATGATATATCAAGAACTATGTAATGTTTTGAACAACCAACAATAAAAAATTAAAAAAAAGTACCACTTTATACCTTTTCTCTGAGTTCTCTCAAGTGTTAGGATGAAGCATGTCTATACATTGCCTCCATGTATTCCTGTGCAGTTCATCAGGGGAATGGTACACACAGTATTCAAAGACAAGCTTGGGGGTAGGGGGTCTCTCTGTGCCAGCATTCTTCTTTCCTCATTCTCTGCCTATCTGACATCCAATTGGCAATGAGATGGCCCAATCACAGTCTACAGGTGGATGCAACTGTAGAGACCTCCTTCATCTTGGTGTCTGCCTAAACTTTCTTTTGGCTTTTTTTTTTTTTTTTAAGTTGTAGATGGACAGAATGCCATTATTTTATTTGTTTATTTTTATATGCTGCTAAGA